GGGACTGTTACTTGGAGTTCTCCTTAGACATTTTTTTATTATATACCCATTAGATATCCTAGTGGAGATGTTGTTTGGGTAGTCTGGTATCTGAGTTTGAAGCTCAAAGTCTTGAGTCCCCTGTGACTGCAGAATATAGCCCCACTCCTGGCTTCCTTCAAAGGCTGGTTTTGTGTATCTGTGGTTTTTCCAGGCACATGGTGCAAGCTGTCAGTGGATTTACCATTCTGTGCCCTGGTGACTCTCTTCTCACAGGTCCACTAGGCAGTGCAGTGATAGAGACTCTGTGTGGGATCTCTGACTCCACATTTCTCTTCTGCACTGGCCTAGCAGAGATTCTCCATGAGGGCCCTGCCCCTGAAGCAAGTTTCTGCCTGGGCATCCAGGTGTTTCCATACATCCTCTTAAATCCAAGCAGAGGTTCCCAAACCTCAATTCTTGACTTCCGTGCATCTGCAGTCTCAACATCACATGGAAGTTGGCAAAGTTTGAGGCTTCCACTCTCTGAAGCAACAGCCTGAGCTGTACCATGGCTTTTAGTCATGACTAGAGTAGCTGGGACAAAGAGCACAAAGTCCATTGACTGCAAACAGCAGAGGAACCCTGAGCCCTGCCCATGAAACCCTTTTTTCCTCCTGATCCTGCAGGCCTGTGATGGGAGAAGCTTCTGTGAAGTCCTTTGACACACCCTGGAGACATTTTCCCCATTGTCTTGGCTATTGACACTCTGCTCCATGTTATTTATGCAAATGTTGCTGCCGGCTTTTCTTTTCTATTACATTGTCAGGCTGCAAATTTTATGAACTGTTTATGCTCTATTTCCCTTTTAAAACGGAATGTCTTTCACAGCACCCAAGTCACATGTTGAATGCTTTGCTGCTTAGAAATTTCTTCTGTCATATACCCTAAATCATGTCTCTCAAGTTCAAAGTTCCACAAATCTCTACAGCAGGGGCAAAATGCCACAAGTCTTGTTGCTGAAACATAACAAGAGTCACTGTTGCTCCAGTTTCCAACAAGTTCCTCATCCCCATCTGAGACCACCTCAGCCTGGATTTCACTGTCCTTATTATCAGCATTTTAGTCAAAGCCATTCAACAAGGCTCTAGGAAGTTCCAAACTTTCCCACATTTTTCTGTCTTGTTTTTTTGAGCCCTCCAAACTGTTCTAAGCTCTGCCTGTTATCCAGTTCTAAAGCTGCTTCCACATTTTCAGGTATCTTTTCAACAGTGCCCCACTCTATTGGTACCAATTTACTGTATTAGTCTGTTTTCACATGGTTGATAAAGATATATCCAAGACTGGACAATTGCAAGAGAAAACGGTTTAATGGACTTAAGTTTCACATGGCTGGGGAGGCCTCACAATCATAGTGGAAGATGAAAGCATGTCTCACATGGTGGCAGATAAGAGAAAATCTTGTGCAGGGGAACCCCTCTTTATAAAACCATCAGATCTCCTGAGACTTATTCACTATTATAAGAACAGCACAGGACAGATTGCCCCCCATGATTCAATTACCTCCTACCTCCCACCAGGTTCCTCCCACAACACATGGGAATTCAAAGTGAGAAACAGATGGGAGCACAGTCAAACCATATCACGTGGCAAGAAATGTGGGTGGCCTCTAAGGCTTGAGAGTAATACCAAACTGATGATCAACAAGTAATCAAGGTATTTGTCTTACAACTGCCAGAAACGAACTTTTGATAACTTGAGTATACTTGAAATTGATTCTTTCTCAATGCTTTTAAAGTAACACAGTCCAGATTATTATACCCTAATGTTACCCTGTGAGTCTCTGATTAGAGAAATCTGTTAAACTGTGACTAGAGTTTTAACCTATAGAAACTGAGAGATAATACATAGGTGCTGTTTAATTGTCTACACAGATGTTTACTTGTTATGGAGCAAAAGAGAACTAATATATTTGTCTTCATAATTCTTCTCAATATTCAATGGTAGGAATAATATTGTCATAGTACCTGGGAAATCAAATTTCTGATTTCATATCCTTAATATGTGAACTTAAGTAATAGTGATTGGTAATTAGTTAACTTTAAAAATATTAGAGATATGTTTTAAGAAGTTAACGACAAGTAGAATTTAACTGCATGCATTATGCTGTTTGTTTCTACATGTTCTGGAATTCTGCATAATTAATCACCCACTAGTTTGGAGCCTCATTACTTAGTATGTGAATCACTCTATGCATAAAGGCATTGCATTAATGGTACAAGATTCTTGGGGTGTCCCTACACCGACCAGAAACCTCTGTGGTCACTGGCCCCTTTGACTGAGTTTTGCTCTGGACTGCAGGGCTCATTCTGCCCACTCAGCCTGGCAGACTGTGCTCAGCTCCTGCTACTGGCCTGGATCCCATGCCTACCAAGGTCAAGCCAGGCATGAAGCAGCAAGGAATGTATGAATGATCATGGGGTCTGGCCACTGAGCACAGCTAGGCACAGTGGCTGTGAGGGGACAAGCAGTCCCAGGCATTGCCACAGGCACTGGCTCCCTGCAAGGCTGTGGCTACACCAGGTGTACCATAAACAACTTCCATAGCTGACACCAGGGAATGCAGTGTTGCTCCGAAGCTTGGAAATGCTAGAAACTGCAGAACCCTAAAGAGGGTGTCACAGCCCTGGCTCAGGGAGCTCCTAGGTCTGCTCTCTACAAATGGCTGCAGATCTTCTCTTTCTCTCTTCTTGTTGCCTGCAATTTGGCAAGTGAGGAACGTGTTTCAGCCCTGTTTGTATTACAGCTCTTTTAGCCCCACCACTGAGTGGGTCCTGGGTTCTGTTTGTGTGTCCAGGAAGAATGAGGTACACAGACAAGTGGAGGGCGAACAAGATGAAAGGAGCTATATTGAGTGTTAGAACAGCTTAGAGGAGACCAGCAGTAGGTAGGTCCTCTCTGTAGCCAGGGTGTCTCAACAAGAGTTCAGCTCTTAGCAGAGAGGATAGCTTTTCTCTGCAGCTGGTCATTTCATCATTATCAGAGAGGAGAGGGTAGCTCCTCTCTGAGGGTAGTTCATCCCATCAACTCTTCAGCTCTCAGCAGAGAGGGTAGCTCCTTTCTGCAGCTGGTCATCATGTCATCTCCTCCATCCTCTCTTTGAGTCTGGCTGAGTCTGGGGCTTTCTATGAGCCTCAGAGGAGAGGAAGTATGTGGTGATTGGATTATAGGCAGCCATTGGCAGGTCCAGGGAAAACCAATGCAAGATCCCCCTCCAGACTGCAGGATGGCACATCAGCCCCCAGTCTTCAGGTTCTACCTGGCTTGAAGATGGGCTTCACCAGGACTGCCCCTTCCACTCAGGAGCCTGTCTAACTCCTGTCTGTTCATGGCACCCAGACTGTTCATGATGCCCAGACTGTTCACACCGAGGGGTGCCTGCATGATCATACTGGGCTGTCCTCAGCACCTCCTTGCCCTCCCACTCCTGCTTGTTGATGATCAAAGTCCACAGAGGCCTGAGGTGGCAGGGGGCTGATGTGCTAACACTGCCCTGAGCATGTGCACATCCAGCCTGGTTCAGATGGAGCCTGGGCTTGCCCCAACTTTGCTCTGAGATCAGAGTGGGTGCTGATAGTGGAGAGAAGCCAGGGAGCAGGAGCAGGCACTTTCAAGTCTGCAGGGGGAGGCAGGAGGCCTTCGTGGGCTTTGAAGAATGCAGAGATGCCTGGGTGGCTACAGCTGCACCCAGGGAGCTCCCACCACACCGACTCAGAAGGAGCGGGTTCCTGCTTGTCCCAAGCTCCCACCAGCTCCCTGGAGTGTGCAGCCCCAGCTGGGCCTCACCACAGCTTGGGTCGGGAGGGCTTCATGTCCTCTCTGGGCCTGGACTGTCATATGAGACTGGGGTGACGTTGCTGCGAGTTCTTTCTGTGGCCCCAGTGCTCAGGAGTTGCCTTGGTGTCCCGCTCTCCAGGTTCATGGCCCTGCTGGAAGGATGCCTCTAGGAGCAGGTTGTGTGCCCCGGGCCCCACCATGGGAAGTGTAAGGCTCAGTGGTTACCTCCATGTGGGGCAGATCCTGGGGATGCAGCCTTGGGCAGCACTGCACAGAGCCTCTTCTTGAGGTGCAGGAACTTGGTGCTGTTGATGGGTTGGGCGCAGTGCCTTTGTCCTGGCTGGGTTCTTGAAGCCAGGGCTGCCCCCACTTCCCACACAGGATTCTGAAGCACAGCTCCAGTTCCATGTCTCAGGGCTGGCCTCTGCACTCCATGTGCAAAAGCAGCACTTCCCTGGGCCCAGTTCAGCCTTGGGCCTCTCTCTGTCCACTCCTCCATGGCCAACCACATTGCTTTCCCATCACAGGGTGGCTTGGCCCAGCCCCACCACAGCTGCTTCCAGGGGTGGGTTTCTAGGGCAGCAGACCCTAGGGGTGAGTTCTGGGGGCTACCTGTCTTGGCATCTGAACCTGAGGACTCACAACCTGGGCCTTTATCCCACTGCAGCTGGAGTCATGGTAGCAGTTGCTTCAGAGGGGCTGCCACTACCATCATTAACAGGAATTGGTATCAATTCCTAATAAAGGCAATATCTTGGTAATTAACTAAATAATTAAAAGAGACAGTACAAAATCAATTAGTATTTAATTACCCAAAAAATTAAATTTAATCGATCAGTTCACAGTAATAAACAAACCTATTACTTCTCTCCACCTGAGAAATTTGGCTATTTTACAAGAAATATAGGTATGATAACTAAAGGTAATGGTTGAAATCTACAGTTAAATATTCAAGTTATATATGGATACAATCCCTTTGTCTTTCTTCACTCACATTCAACTTTCTTAATGACTCTTCAAATAAAAAATATTATTGAATGCTTACTAGGTACCAAGCACTGAGATGTATTAGCTTTGTTTCAGAATTTAGAAACAAATCAGTTTGTGCACTGTCTATGTCTCTTTGTGTGTTGGAGATGGGAGACTGATTGAAGGTGAGAAATGGGGTGGATTCGTCTCACAGTATATTTTAAAATTACCATCTATAATTGTCCTTGTTAGACAACGTAAATAAATAGTCCCTTTTACTTTTACCCATTGACTTGGGCTGCATGTTGGAATCTTGTTTCAGCAGTTTATTTTTACCTGTTTTCTATGTGAATTCATGTTGTTTGAAGGTCTGATACCCTGATTTTCTAGAATAAGAATTCACTTTTGCTCTACTCATATCTTTCTCGATAAGTTCATCTCTTCCAATAAAAAGTTTCTAGATGTACTCTGCTTGAAGATTTAAAAATTTTAACAGATAAAAATATGTGTTTACTCTTTACAAGAGCTTCTGAAAGAACTACTACAAATAGAAAGGAACAACCAGTATCAGCCTTTCTAAAAAATGCCAAAAAATAAAGAACATCAACATAATTAAGAAATTGCATCAACTAATGGGCAAAACAGCCAGCTAACATTAAATGACGGTATGAAACTCACATATATTGTTATTAATTCTAAATTTAAATCGACTAAATCCTCCAATCCAAAGACACAGACAGGCAAAAAAAGCCAAGACCCATTGGTAGGCTACATCCAGATCCATCTCATATGCAAGGATACACAAAGACTCAAAACAAAGGGATGGAGAAAAATTTACCAACCAAATGGAGAGCAAAAATAAATAAATAGAAAGCAGGAGTTGCAATATTTGCTGATAAAATAGACTTCAAAGCAACAAAGATCAAAAGAAGCAAAGAAGGATATTACATAAAGATAAAAGGATCAATGAAACAAGAAGAGCTAAAGATCCTAAATATATATGCACCAAATACAGAAATACCCAGGTATATAAGACTTATAAAGAGACTTGGACTCCCACACAATAATAGTGGGAGACTTACAGATCAATGAGACAGAAAGTTAACATCGATATTTAGGACTTGAACTCAGATCCGGAACAAGTAGACTTAATTAACATTCATAGAACTCTCCACTTTAAATACACAAAATATACACTCTTATCAGTACTACATCACACATATTTACAGGTTTAAATGAAATATTGGTTGGCTGCTTGTTAACCTCATTTTTTTTTTATGTATCTATCATTAAACACAATTACAGGCATACCCATTTTTAGACTGCATTCTAGCCCGGGCAATAAAGCAACACCCCTGTTCTCTCTCCTTCTTCCTCTTCCTCTTTCTTCCTTTCCTTTATTCCTTTTTTTTCGTTTTCTTTTTTTTTTTTATTCTTTTTCTTTCTTTCTCTCTTTCTTCCTCTTAAAAAAAAATATGTGTTTAGTGCACAATATGATGTTTTGAAATATATTTACATTGTGAAATGAGTGAATCCACCTAATTAACGTATGTGTTACCTCACATAGTTTTCAGTTTTGTGACGAAAACATTTTACATCTCTCAGCATTTTCAAGAATGCAATGTATTAAATGTAATGGAATGATAAAATTAACTCCTCTTATCAAAATAAACTTATTCATATTTAAAATATTGTATTATTTAACTAACATCTCCTAAACCCTCCCCTGCTACCCTACCTTCCACCCCAGTTCCTGATAACCATCATTTTTTTGTCTAATTCTAAGAGTTCAGCTTTCTTAGGTTCCATATATAAGTGAGATCATATGGTATTTGCTTTCTTGTGCCTGGGTTATTTCACTTATCTCAATATCCTCCAAGTGAATCCATGTTGCAAATGACATAATTTCCTGCCTTTTTATAGTTAAGTGGTACTGCATTGTGATTTTATAGTTTTATAACAGTATTTCCTATATATACATATGACATTTTAAAATCCATTCTTCTACTAGTGCACACTTCAGTGAATTCCATACCGTGATTATTGTGAATAATCCTGCTTGCAAATTTAAATAGTTTAAATTTTGTTATTCCATGGCTCAACTACTGCTAAAATCCAATTTATGTAACATTCATTTTTATTTTAAAATGATCAATTTCCACTGGATGTTTGTATGCTGACTTACACAATTGGTAACAAATAATTTGAGCATCTTTTGCATTTTACCCTCTTGACTGAATACTTGGCCCCCCTGTATCAATCTCCTCTAGTCATTGGCCTCAAATAAGTCTTTCTTTTGGTCCTTTAAATAGTAGGAGGAAATGTCTGTCTGGTTTTTGTTTTCTTTTTTCTGATAAAAATAATTAAGTCTACACAAAGCTCAAATTAATTTTTTTTTTTTTTTGCTGATATGGTCTTTGAATGTATTACCTTTTGAAATAATCCCAATTTCCCACTCCAAGCTATTGGATAAGTAAGCAAAACCATTGCATTAAGTGGGTTGATTCAGAAATTTATATTTTTCTTTCAATTTAATGTAAAAGGAGTAAATTTTCACACTTCTAAATCCTATTTGACATGCTGTGAGTTACATTTACGCAATGCAAACACAAAGGTAACAAAAAAATTTGGTCATTAAAGCTATCTAATTTTAAAATGATTCCAAATTTATTTTGAAAAATAAACATAAAGGTAGCCAAATACATTCTTCATAGCTACTTGTTGTTTTATGGTCTTGGAGTCTGGTAAAACTGATTTGGATAAAATTATTTTTTAGAGATTTAAACTCATTCCACTCCTGAATAACCAGTTTTAATTATATTTTTCAAATCATTGGATATTAGCTTTAAAATTTAATCAAAAAGGTGACTTGATATTTTCAAAATATTCAACACATATACAATTTTTAATTACTTATCCTGTTATGGCAAATTAGATATGCAATACAATATAATTAATTAAAAGTTAATACCTAGTCTAAGATAATCATATGTATTGCATACTGGCATTGGATGTAACAAAATAGATAAATGATTTAACATTTTGTGTAAGTGTTGAACATTCAAAATGTTTCAAAGACTATTAAGATAATTTTTCTGTCACAAATAGGTGAATCTAAAATAATCTTAATCTCAGTGAAGCTCTCAATTTGTGGAAGGCATTTTCCTCCCTCTGAAAGAAAAATACCTTTCTATTTTACCTACTAACAAATTGATTTCCAACTGAAAATTTATTATGGTCCTACGTCCTTATGATTTTTTATTTTCGTTAGAGATCATTATACTGCTGAGATATTACCATAACTCAGAGATAATACAAGCAGGTTCTTGTCAACCTTGATTACATTTCATTGTGTTTTTAAATTAATGTCTGTACACTGAGATCAATTAACATTTTTTGAATAAATACTTTCTGCACAACAAATTACATTTAAATCATCTTGTGTGTAGTTTATTGTCATAAAGTATAATTTAAGAAAATTCCTATCACTGCTTGGTTATGATGAAGTGAAAAGTCTGATAAATATTAGCTCCTACAAATGATAAGAATATAGGAAATGAAAGTTCTCTTTAAGGTGTTCAAATGTTTTAGAATGGCTTTGATATTCTGAGGACGGATGTGACAGCATAAACTGAGCCAGATGCTTAAGTAATAATGGGGAACATAGTAGTGTGCATGAGTGCATTGAGTATCTGAAACATTTTGCATGATCGCTAGCATAGCTTTCTCTCAGGAAGTAATACCTCTAACACAAAATTCAAAGAGTTTTTTTTTTCAGATGGATAAAATCAATTATGAACATATATTTTCATACATTGAATTAGAGAATGAAACATTCAAACTGGGAAACAACCTTTGTCTCTTCTCTCCAATGAGCAGATGTTTCAAACACATTTGGAGAGTTATAAACAACTTGAAGAAAATAACACCTCAACTTTTCACACACCTTAGCTTTTCACAATGATCTTCATCATTGAATCCCAAGTTAAAGTTCTTAAGATAGTTTTGAAAAATGCTTTTTCCTTTGGCCACAGGAGTAGATACTGAGAGCAACCCTGAGGATGATGCTGGATAAAAGTCTTTGTAAAATCACTTGAAATATTAGTTTGGTTCAGCCTTGGGTTGGCTCCACTTAGAACTCCATGTTAAGGGAAAATTGCACCCCCTTCTAATATTAAAATTCACACACACACAAATGTACATAAAGCTGCAACATACTTTCTACAACTAACATAGGACACCCCATGTTATCACTGGCACCAGCGTTTATAAAGGGAAGATGTTGTCTGGCTCATTGGAGACATTTACAAATTCAGTCTTTTGGGGAGAGGTTCTTAAAATCCTGCTTTTAAATTCAGTGCTTGTTAGTTAAGTTTTTATTCAGAACTATGTTCTCTGGTAGTTTGCACATTTGGTAGCTTCCCAGCACAAACACAAAAATGTTGTAAGTTCTTTATGGGCTAATCTGATATAGTCTAGACACATGTTGCTGTCTTTCCTAAGGACAGGATGACCTTTGTAGAAAACTTAAGTATATGAGTACTGAATTTGGCTAAACTGTATTGTTACTTCAAATATCAGTGGTATAAATGAATAATTATCAACATGCTACATGGAAATGTTGAGTATATATACCTTTATTAAGGAATTGATCATAAATCTCTGTATGATGTTATTTAATATTGCACCAGAAAAAAATGAAAATTTTAGAAAAAAAACTATAAGAATTTGGGTGACATAAGCATGTAACATGTTATGTTGAGGAAAATGTTATGTTATATTTATTTCCATAGGAATGGCTCATACTTCTTGGCTGACAAGAAGTGGTTAGTGTGAGCCATTCCTATGGAAAGAAATAAAGGTGATGACTGACTACACCTTCAGCTGAAATATTCAGGTGCACTCATTGGGGTTAGCTAAGGAAACAGTAGAGAAAGGATAGGAACAAAACTGGGTAACTGTCCACCTGGGAGTAACATGGAGCCAGGAGAGGCTCCCCTACCAAGGGAAATGGTGAATGAGTGGGAGACCCTGGGGTCCCACACTTCTTCCATGGATCTTTGTCACCTATGAACCTATTTCACCAGAGCCTTCAGTCTGACATGAAGAGCTACATGGTGTCTTAGTAGAGCTGCTGCTCAGACACATGCAGAAACCCAGGAGTCCTGGATCCCTGGGCATCCAGGCAATAAGTAGCTGGAGCTCTGACAAAGGGGGAGATTAGCCTTCCTTCCATTACTCCAAGAA